ATGCGAGTTTGACACCCCTGGTTTACAGCAAAGCTCAAACAGCTTCATCACGCCAAACAGGAGACTTACAGGAAAAGAGATAGGATCTTGTACAATCAGGCCGTTAACAAGAGAGATCCGGGTAGCAAAGAGAAACTACTCTGAAAAGCTGAGAACTCACTTCTCAGTCAATGAACCTGCTGCTGCGTGGAGAAAACTGAAAAATATGGTGGCTACAGCAGACCTCCCTCCTTGCTGGAGAGAACTGTCAACTGGCAGTTTATTGTTTATATTTAACATTTCAATTGTTCACTACTTTAAGTGCCCCTGGGGCAGAATGTTTGAATATAAATTAAATTAACACACACACACACCCCAACTATCATCACCTGAGTAAAATGTAGTTGGCTAGTTCATTGTGTTGCGCAATACAGCCACTGACTTCATATTCTGCAGAACAGTCAGGAAGGTGAATCAGAAAATCCTAAGACTCCTTCCAGATGCAGAACGCTGCCTCTCCCCTGCCAAAATTTTGTCGTAAATCATTGCTGAAGACAAAAGGGAGTGACATTTATTTATTTTTATTTGTCAATTGCCTGATAATAGGTATAAGTAAAAACATAGTTATGAATACATGGATACATATAAGAAAAATAAAAAATATAAAAGAAACAATAGGACAAGGACGGTAGGCACGTTGGTGCACTTATGCAAGCCCCCTACAGACAGACCTCTTAGGAAAGGGGTGAGGTCAATAGTAGACAGTCTAAGGCTAAAGTTTTTGGGGTTTGGGGAAGAAACCACAGAGTCAGGTAGAGTATTCCAGACATTGACCACTCTGTTGCTGATGTCGTATTTCCTGTAATCAAGTTTGGTGCGATTAACCTTGAGTTTGTATCTATTGTTTGCTCTTGTGTTGTTATAGTTGAAGCTGAAGTATTCATTGACAGGAGGACATTGCAATGTATGATTTTATATACTATACTTAGATCGGACCGAAGGCGGTGTAGTTTTATGTTTTCTAGGTCTAGAATTTCAAGTCTGGTGGCATAAGGTATTCTGCAACGAGTAGAGGAGTGGAGAACTCTTCTTGTGAAATATTTCTGGACTTTCTCAACTGTGTTAATATCAGATACGTAATGTGGGTTCCAGACTGATGAGCTGTATTCGAGTATTGGTCTAGCAAATGTTTTGTATGCTCTAGTTATTAGTGTAATATTACCAGAGAAAAAGCCACGTAAGATTAGGTTAACAACTCCTAACACCTTTTTGGCTATGTAGTTACAGTGGGCTCTAGCACTTAGGTCATTTGAGATGAGTACTCCAAGACCCTTGACAGAGTTTGGATCATCAACAATGTCTTGACTATTCAGCCTGTATTTTATTTTCTGATTTTTTTTGCCAATATGTAAGGCAGAGCATTTATTTGTTGAGATTTGAAGTTGCCATTTGTTTGACCATTCTGATACATAGTCAAGGTCTTTTTGAAGGGTTAGCAGTATTGTCTGTGGTGTTGAATAGCTTTACATCATCAACAAAGAGAACGCAGTTGCTTTTAATGTGATCACAGAGGTGATTTATGTAGAGTATGAAGAGAGTTGGTCCTAGAACACTGCCTTGGGGGACACCACTGTTGACAGGTACAGAATTTGATAGGACATTCCCAATTTTGACCATTTGTTGTCTGTTTGACAGGAATGCTTCTATCCAGTTATGCAGGTGTCCAGAGATGTCATAAGATTTTAGTTTTAGAAGTAGTTTGTTGTGTACCACTGAATCAAGGGCTTTACAGAAGTCTATGTAGATTATGTCTATTGCTTTGCCCTGATCAAGTTGTGTAGTCCATATGTTTTTGCAGTGTAAGGGTTGCAGATTACATGATAGTTTTTTCCTAAAACCAAATTGTTTATTAGAGAGTAGGTTGTTTGTTTCTAAGTGGAGGATGATAGATTGGTTAATAATTGATTCCGTGACTTTACAGGTGACACAGCATAAAGAGATTGGTCTGTAATTTTCAACTAGGCTGGGGTCTCCCTTTTTGAAGATGGGGATGACTGTGGCTTGTGACCATAGTTTTGGCAAGGAGCTGGTCCTGAAAGATTTTTCAAAGATTATGCTTAGAGGTTCGGCTATAGCAGTGGATAGCTTTTTAAAGAAGTAGGCACATATTCCATCCGGTCCAATAGATAGAGATGGTTTTAGATTGCGCAGTGCTTTTTCAACAATGTCTTCTGTAAAATCATATGTATTAGATCATTGTAGTTGTCTGTGGTTCGACTAGGAAATACTGGGCATGATCCATTGCTGTTTACAAATACTGAGCCAAAGAATGTGTTAAAGAGGTTGGCTTTAATAGTGTCGTCGTTGTAGTCTTTACCATTAGGTCCTTTCAGGGGTGGGATGGACCTTGAGTCTTTTAGTTTGTTGTTTACAAAATTGTAGAAAGCGCGGGTGGAATTGGTGCATAGAAGGTTTTCTTCTTGTTTAATGTGATAATTGGTGCATTCAGTCTTTATCTGGTGGCATAAATTTTTGTATTGGCTTTTGAAGTTGGCAACTTGACTAGATTTGTTTTTCTGCCAAAGTGATCTCTTTTTGGATTGAAGCTTCCTTATTGTTATAGGTAATTTGTTTTTTCTGTTTTTGGGAGTTGTTAATGGTACATATAGTTTGATGACTTTTGACTTCAAGTAAAAATATGTTGTAATGGTCTTCTACTGTATTGCATCCAGAGAATAGAAATTGCCAATCAAGGGATGAGAGATCGTTGTTTATAAGATCATAGTTGCCTTTTTTGAAGTTATAATTGGGGATTCCGTTGTGATGATTTTTGTGTGGACGTATGTTGAGACAAAAGTCAATCATGTTGGAAAAGGGTTCTTTAATTTGTATTCTGTAAATTGAATTCAAACTATTGTAGAAGATGAGACATGTAGCCTTATGTTTGCAAACACCATTGGTTTAATTTGGGGGGGTGGTACAGTTGACGAATTAGCACCGTTTCTCTTGAGGGTAAAATATAATTATAAAGTTCTGAACAAGAATATACAGCTTCATATACATCAAAGAGTTAATTTCTTAAAGAATGCATCTAAAAGCTGATGGTGTGATTTCTGGTTTTCCAGGTACTGTAATATGCGTTGGTAGCAGTTTTGCCTTTGCCAAAACTCACCCACTTCCTTTCCGCACATAAATAAGTCAAGTACAGTATGTGAATCTTAGGCTTCCAAGTACTTTAATTTTGTGCGGAAGGGAGCGAGAGCTTTAATGCTTTCTTTCTTTCCAACTTCCTGATAAAAACGTCACTTGCTGTTTGCTCAGAGCTGCCTTTTATAATTCAATCTTCAGAAGCTAAATTAACCATGAGTGTGACCCAGGCCTCCTGTGACCTCCACTCCCACCCCTGCCAAATATCTTTCGGTGGCCTAGTGTTCCCATACTGTATGTGACTACCCAATGTAACAGGGTAATATACTCCGATACACCTAAAGAAACCTAGATCCAGAAAAAAAGACTCATAGAATCTTTTTCTCATTACAGGTAGTCCTCAGCTTATCACCAAATTAAGCCCAAAATTTCTGTTGCTAATGGAAATAGTTGTTAAGCGAATTTTTCTTCATTTTTATGATGTTTCTTGACACACTTGTTAATGGTATCATTGCAGTTGCTGAGTTAGTAGCACAGTTGTTAAGTGAATCTGGCTTCCGCATTGACTTTGCTTGTCAGAAGGTCGCAAAAGGGAATCACGTGACCCTGGGACACTGCAACGGTCATAAATATGAGTCAGTTGCCAAGCATCTGAATTTTGATCACTTGATCATAGGGATGTTGCAATATTCATAAGTGTGAAAAATAGTCTTAAGTCACTTTTTTCAGTGTCGTCGTAACTTTGAACAGGCACTAAATAAACTTTCGTAAATCAAGGACTACCTGCATTAAAAAATGCCTGCCTACATTTTATGATGAACTGGACTTTCACCTTACCTTCTATTGTATTGCAAATGTGTGGGTGGATGGACAAACCCCTTCTGAACATGAAATCATTAACATCTGGTAAATGGGGGAATTAATCATATCACACAGATCACATGCTGGTAGTCCTCTCCTCCAACACTCCTAAAGTGTCTAAAGTATTTTATAGAATCACTTAGAGCTCAATTGACTTTGAGAATCTTTTTTGCGGATTGTGAGCTCTTAACATATTCAAAAGTAATTCCTCCCAAAGTCCATCATGGCACTAGAAAGAGGTTCATCAGTTATGGCCTTATCTAAATTAGAAGATAGGGGTGTATTCATCCATGCCCTGATCACCACACAACTGGACAACTGGAACCGTAATCCAACTTAGAATGTAGTGATGGGCAGGCCAATAAATTCAAATAAATAAAAGTGACCAGACTATTAACAGGGGAAAACCACAACTATAGAACATCCCTACACACTAAAGATTACCTTTAGAGCCATATATGGCACAGCTCTCTATCAGGTAACAGATTGTGGGTTGTAGTATGAATCTCCCTGATCTATGTGGACATCCAGAGAAGGTGTTCAAGGCCCATTTCGATGAGGTGAGAAGAGCAGATCTTCTCAGTGGTTACCTGTACAGTATGGGAATATGCTGGTCCCAGAAACACATTGCTCCTGTCTCCTAGCATCGAAGCAAATGCTAAAACTCTTCCTTTTAAAATAATTTTGTTGCCTATACTAGGGGGGGGGGCAATTGCGTGGCTTGTTTTAAGATGCATTCATGGTCGAATTTGATGGAGGAGATAGTGATGCTCCTTTGACATTGTACGCCGCCCAAACTCTTTCTATTGGGCGGCGTAAAAATTGTTGGAATAAAACAAAGCAGAGAGAAATGCCTAACTCTAATGAAGTCTCCTCCGAATCAGCGACCCGGAAGCTCGGGACCTCCTTTAAGGTTCGCCGCTCGCCTTCGGAGGGCAGCCGCCGTTGCCACAGGAGTCCGCTAGATGGCGCCCCAGAGTCCTCACGGGTTTTCATACCGGTTGCCCAGCTGCGGCTTCGCCTTGACTGGCCGCCGCTCACTCCTCACCGGCTCGGGTTGTGAGTGTCGGAGGAGCGGATCTGGGTCGGGAGGCGTGTGGGCCGAGAGGCAGACCTCCAGCTACGGCCGGAGCTCAGGTGAGACAAGGGGGCTACCTTCTTGGCAGGTGGGGCGGAGTGGTGAAGCTCGGCCGTTGTGTGTTGCGCGTAGGTGGGTGTACAGTTGGAGGGATTTCGGAGTAAGAGGCGGTGGATGCGGAGAGTCCCCACGATATGCGCTTGTGTGTCGGCGGGGCGCGGGGGGGGGGCGCTGAGGTCTGCGATGTGGAGGTGGGCGGCTTTTTACCTGGATGCAAGAAAAGGTCGGGGGCGGGGGGGGGGGGAAAGCCGGGTAATAGATTTGGGAGGGGGGGTGTCCGCGCTGGTCACGTGTCACGACTAGATTGGGGGGTGTACGTCGGAACGTCTATGGTGCTAGTCGGAGAAGACTGAAAGTATGGAATGTGCGTTTAAGACCAGGGATAAGCAGCCTGCTATTCTCCAGAGCCCAGGCTCTTTGGACTGCAATTCCTGTAAGCGCCAGCCAGCCCTGGCATTGTCAGAGGTAAGGAGGGCTATACTATACTGTACCTGGCGAGCCTCGAGGTTGCTGTCTCCTTGCTGAAGATAAGAATGGGAAGGGAAATACCCTAGTACTCCAGCAATACTGGAGCACTTGAGAGTTGGACTATAATATGTGGCCAAGGGCCCTCCCACCCCCCCCCCCCCCCCATGAGAAGGCACAACATTGACAAGACTTCTTGGGAAAGGGGTTGCAGGCTAAGCTGGCCGTAGGTGAGGGACAAGGGAATAAGCTGAGAATGTGGGACTCAGATGCTAGATGGGTGTGGGGGTTGGTTGGTTATGGCATTGGGAAGAGTGACACTGATTACTTGAGGGATGGACTTGTCCCAGGCATGGCAGCTCTTAGCGTTACAGCTCAAGAAAAGAAAAGAAAAACAGCATACGGACAGGGCAGACTTTGAATAAAGTTGAGGTACGGATTGCATGGAAATCCAGCCAATGCATGGAAATAACTGAATCTATAGAAAGAGTTTGTCCTAGAATGGATGCTTGTACACTGGAGAGCTTGATGGAGCTACAGAGAGAGCAGTGGTCAGTAGACTGACCGAATTACCCAAATATTAAAAAGCCTATGCCTTGTGGAAGGTGTTTGTTTTGAAATACTACTTTGAAACCAAGGATGTGGAGTTGCACTTTTCTGAAATAAGGTTTTTTTTTAAAAAAATAAAAAATAAATGAAGATCAGAAGGAAAAGTTAACCTAAGTTCACTATTACTAATTTATTAAGGCCTGCCAAAAAGTGGCAAAAGAGTTATATGCTTTTTTTGTCAGGTTTTGCTTCATCCTAATTTAGAGATTGCCCCAGGTGTTTTTTTTTTTGAAACTTGTAAAAATAAATGTGTTGCATTTTAGTAAAATGAGTTGCTTCTTTAAAACAAACTTTATTAAGAAAGGGTTATGATTTTTACTGACATCATTAGAGGAAATTGGTAGGGATGTGTTTATATGGGTCACCAGAGAAATGTCAGTTTACTTTCCCTACACAGGTGTGCATGCATATGTTCAGATATAGCCTAAACAATGACAGCCTGTCAGTGGATGCTTTCATTGGGAGTTCTGCACCAAAGCCTAAATGGTCTCTTCCAATTATGGTTCTATGGATCTGATAATTGGGATGTTTTCTCATTGGGAGCTGTAGTCAGTGTACCCACCTAATATAATAAGACTTGCAATACTGTCATAAGCACATGGTACATTTGTACTTATCTATTTAAAGCATTTATATATTGCTCATTTTAAAAAAAACCTGCACTGTTACGTAACCTAACGAGGAAAACATCTTATGTGAAATGACCTTCAGATACTTTAAGAATAGGACAAACTGTTTTCTGAGGGCATAAGATGATATTAACATTAGTAATGAACCCACCATTCCTTTGAACTATGTAAGCTTCTGTGCTTACAATGAAGGTGGCTTTTTGTGATTCTTTTCAAAACTGATTACTGTTGAATTTACTTCCACATAAAAGTGGATTTAAATTCTTACTATTTAATTTTATATTAATCAATATCCACAAATACATTTGTACTCTTTGATCCCAGTCACTAAAATTTCTGTCTATGCCCGTGATGTAGGATCCTGAATTGGCACATTTCTTTCTGTCAGAAAGGTTACTAAAGTTAGTTTGTTGGGTTTATTTGATGGTCTATATGTTTGTTTTTGAGGACAGTGAACTAGAAAACTTCATACTACTGCAGTCCTTTCACTAATATGAGCAGGAAGCTTGCAAGACACAAATAGGAGTCCGGAACAAAGGAAGAAATGCATAAAATTACTACTAATGAAACTAATCTGTTATGGCCAGCTATGGAAAAGACAGATTATTTACTTCTGTTATTGTTGATTCTCTCTTTGTCTTTCCTTTTTAAGGACTGTCTCAAATGATATGCTAAATATTTTGCCTGGGTCTTACCAAACATCCCCTTTGTTGCCAGTTTTGCCTCAGGTTCTCGTCCTTCCTGTTGGCTGTGTATTGAACAAGTTTATGATGTAATGGATCTTTTATCTTCCATTTGTGTAAAAGAAAGAGAAAAACATCTCATTTTTCCCTCACATCTTTTTGTCAAAACTTGCAGTGCTGGGTTCTTGTGCAATGTTATCCTCCTTCCCTTACAAATCCATATGAACCTTTTCCCTTTATAAATGTGATGGGTTCTTGTAATGGAATGATTTATTTAGTTTTTTTTTTGGCAGGCTGACTATTGTAAGAAGAAATCACCAGAAGCAATCAAAATAATTGGTATGCTCATCTTTGAACATTTAGTAGTGTATAGTTGCATAAGCCCTAGTACCTTATTTTGGAGCATTGTACAGCAAAAATATTCTACCAGCTTGGCAGTTTATGACTGATGCTGCTTATACAAACTGGCATAAATATGATATTCAAGTTACTCCAGGCATATCCTTTGAACTGGAACTAAATTGTTCATGAGTTCTTGTGTAAATTCATTATATTATAGGATAGGAATACATAGTGCTTTTCCTTATTTGACCTAACTGTAGCACAGACTTGCCTTGGCAATTTCTTTTTTCTGTTGTCTGCCAGTAAAATCATCTTATCCGCAGCTCATGAGTGCAGTTGACTTGCCCTTGTTGTACAATTTAAAATAGTATTTCCCCCTTATTCCAGCACCATCCAGGGGCAGCCCCAAAATTTTCCATTATCTTGGAATCATTAGTTAGCTGGCAGTGACTAGGAACAGAAATATTGGGGGCAGGATAAGAAACAGCCAATAGAGAAAGCAATTTTAATGCTAGCGTAGGTGTTTTTTTTTTTTTTTGGCCAAATTAAGGGTGGATGGATATAAACATACTAGATATTTGGAGAAGAGCACTCATTTTTGGCAGTATGCAAGAAGGAGGGCATTCCTGCTTTATAATAACAAAGAGTATGAGATATGCTGACTTGCCATATTGAACACCTCCTGTGTTTGCATTTAGGGCAATACCACAGAATTGGAGAATGACAAATCTTTCACCTTGGGGAATTGTTACAACTATCTTATGAAACAAGGAAATTAGATAATTTTCCTTCAATAGCTAAGGGTGAGCAGCTTCTTTCTTAGTAGTTAATTGAATGCTTGAACAAATGGATTCCAAGGTATATCCCTAAGAGAGATTGTTGCAACTCTTATTCCTTTCTTATATTTTATATAAATCTGAATTTGATAGAGGCATCTACTAGCATTAATATTCTATGAATATCATGTTTTAATTGTATATCAATAATGCAGGGACAAAAGCACTATCTATTCAGGTATTTCCTTCGAAACAACTTTCTTCCTCTAAAGGTAGAATATATATGTTGCAATCTTACTCCCCAGTTACCAGGGAGTAAATTTCATTTAAGACAGTAAAACTTATTTCTCAAAAGATATGCAAAAATTAGCACTGTTCTCAATAGTATTGTTGCTTTAGAAAGAAAGGAACTTGATTACTACTGAATAAGACTATTGACCCATCTAACCCAGTGTTGATGATATCTCCAAATTGGTCTTTTGGGGTATCCAGGCATGCTTAACATTCACCCAGATCTGAGTGTCCATATTGGGGTATCAGATAGTCCTACAGACGGGAATATCTTTGTGGACTCCCCAAATTTAGCATCTTGAGTCTGTAAGGCAACTTCACCTTCCAGGCATGTCTCTCCCAGAATCAGCCGTAGAAAGCTGGAAGTGCTCTATCAGTTCCAGAACCCAAACACCATGGATTATTCCTGCTAGGAAGGTTGACCCCAAGATGACCTTCCAAAACAGGCTCCAGAATAATCACCATGACATTCCTACAATTTTGCTCAAAGATGAAAGTAATGTAGAATCCTAACCCCCAATCTAGCCATCACAACATGCCTTCTGGTTCACCCCCAAGATAATAAACACAGTTCAGTCAAATCTGTTACATTCTACTTGCTCACAGGCAATCCACTCAGCCTGCACCCTTTAACTTCTTAAGTGAATTGCAATATGAGAATCAAGAACCAATCACTGTAAGATTGCTCATTGTACTATCTTAAATGAAAGCTTACAATGAATTCTAATCTAAAGACAGAAGTGTGAAAGAAAAGGGAGAGGTTCTTAGATAAGATCTTCCTAAGAAACTGTTTGATTGGCCCTCATCTTCCATGGCAGTTGATTTTTGAGGGCAGGACTGGGTGAAGATAGGATGCTGGTTACCATAGCCAGGGGGTTGGACTAGAAGACCTCCAAGGTCCCTTCCAACTCTGTTATTCTATTCTATTCTATTCTATTCTATTCTATTCTATTCTATTCTATTCTATTCTATTCTATTCTATTCTAAACCTATACCGCTGGTTTATCTCCAAGAAGCTGGAAAGACTTTCTCCTTTTTGCAGTTTCTTCTCTTTGTTTTAAAATTCAATACTTCTTGGAGCTGTTTGGCAGTTTCTCTTTCAATTGGCTTTTACCCTATTTTTTTCACATATGGACAAGACTGTTTGATGCCCTGTTTTCTTGACTTTCCATCTGTCTGAACCAGTGACAAATTGAAGTTTTCT